GGAAAAATGAGGACCTAATGTCGGGGGTTTAAATGGAGAGAAAATGTTTTGAGAAACGATGTACAAATGTGCTTTACACAATTGCTGTGTGTATGGATTGGGATAACAGTTGTATGAGCCCCTAATAAAATGTTAAAAAAGAAAAAAAAAAAAAAAGAATTGATGAATGGTAACTTTTGCCAATCGCTCTGAAGCAAAAGGTTAAAACTTCCATGCTTCTCACGATAACAGGAAGACACACCAGTGACCAGAAACAAGTCCTCTTTGATTAGAAGTCATGCTTGCTTGCCTTTCTGTTATTATTTCTTTTAAACACTAGAAGTCAGAGAGACACAGGTCCCAAATTGTTGTCCTGTGCAAAGCAATTAAAAAGGTTAAGAATCATCTCTGTCTCCCACTCAAGCGGTGATTTTGGAAAAGATGGGGAGGCTTCTCCATCAAGTGCCCTGCTTTGCTGAAGCAATGCGCTCAGATTTGGGCACAGAAGTAGAAGTGTTGAAAAGGTTGCATAAGCTCATCTTTTGGTACGATTCTAGTAACAGTTTTGGTATGCTGATAGGGAATGACGGGCAAGAGAACCTTTGGTCACCCGTCGCTGTTCCGTGGGGTCCTGCCATTCTGCACAAGGACTGCAAAGTAATCAGCTCCTGGGCTGGCCGGGGAGGAGGCACCCTGGTCTGCAGCTCCCGAGCTAGTCATCTTCCTCAAAGAAACACATGGGCTGCCAGATGCTCGAGAAGAGACAAGATCCCAGGAGCTCCCTTTTAAAAATTCCAAATTTAAATAAAGAAAAAAGAAACCACAAATCAAAATGACTAATCACTTGGATGTAGGGGGAGGCCAGGACATGGTGAATCATAGCTGATGGTCCTAGATGAAGACTATATTTCAGAATGAAAGGGCAAGAGAGAGAGAGTTTTAGTTTTCTGTTGGACGGTGTGACTCAGAGGATGACACAGCCTTCACTGCCATTCTTCCAAGTTGGGCCTGGCTCCTCCCATGCCTCCTGCTGTCCTGCTCACTCTCTGAAGCATGGTCTTGGCACTTAGCATCGTTAATTTATCAATCTCCAGACTGTTGGTGCAAGAAGCAGAACTGGAGGAGTTCTCTAAAGAACTGGAGTCAAAGAGGGATCATCAGAAGAAGGGAGGGTATAAGTAAAACAGTTAAGCTAGATGTATGTCTAGATGACATGTACCTTTCATCTTTTTTAGAATAGAAGAGATACAGACTTGTAATGATGATGATATTGATGATACGGTACATGTGTTATTTGTTTATTTTGTCTTTTCAGGTATGATTTCTTGATTAAAAATATTAATTTATCCTAGAAAATATATATTTTTTAAAAATGGTCTTCACTGGAGTTCGAGGGTGGGGAATGTCCAGGCCATGGGCAGTATAAAGGCCCTCAGAATCATCAATACCAATAAATGCTTTGTGTTTCGCTAAAGAGTAGCAGTTCCAGGCATCACATTAGCGGTGGGTTCACTCAATGTTTGACCTGTATGGCTCACAAATAATGTTATAAATATCCAAAAAGCACGTGGCAGGAAGAAGGTCCCCTGCTTCTACAATGTGTCAATAACGATGGTTGGTACTTGGTCCTCATTTAGCCTTCCCTGATTCCAGCAACATTTCGAGGCACCTGCATGATTCCAGGCATAGTGATAGGACTGGTGACTTAATGGTGACAAAACCCAACTATGATCTCTGCTTTCATGCAGCCTGTAGCTGAATAAGGAGACAGACCCAATCA